GGATAACATAAGAAAGAAACTCTCTAGGACCACATTTAAATAGTGTCCATTTTGATTTTTTCAATTAAGAAAGTTATATATGAGATTATGGAACAAGAATTTTGCCTTCTGCATTGATATTTTTTTAAAATTAACACATTAAACTACACTTTACTAGAAATTTATTCATAGAAGACTATAAATTTCTACTTGTAGTAATACATATTAATATCAGCCAAGAAGCAATTATATTTTTTGTCCCAGTAGAACAATTTTATTTTATAATAGACTACATATAATTTAATAAGTGTTTTCTTAAATATTACTATAATGAAACAATTTATTTCTTAAGAGGTGATTACTACTACCTTTGGATAAAAAATGTGCCGACTAAAGTAATAAAACAAGAAATGTATGAATGTCACAATTAATTTATTATATATGTTAATATAATGATCATATTTTTATTACTGTCAATTTATTATGCCACTACAAGTTTCGCGGCATTGTCATCGTCACTAGTGTCAGTGTAGTTGGGGAGCATGCCATTGTGACTGTTAGTGACCTCGGCTACAATGGTGGCAGTGGGGATAGGGCAGGTGAGAGTCACATTGAGATTATAATTCGTATTTCTTAAATTATTCCCTTTGTTTTTTGAAATTTGGCCAAGTTTGATCGGCAAGGAAAATAGTAAACTAAATCTATGTGCTTGAGGTTTTTGTAGAGGAGAAAAAATAACAGAAATCACGAATTAATCGATTAATAGTGAAAGTGTCAAAAGTGTTTGGTTAATAAAAACATGAAAGATGACAAAGTTATAAGGGATGAAAAGAGTAAAACAAATAGATAAGTAACAATAACTTTGTGCTTTAATAATATGATTTAATGCGCCAAAACCCTTTCCAATATATAAATTATATGCACATTAGTCTTTTGTGATTTAAAAATGCGACAAACATCTCTGTTGCAATTGCTCGATAAGTTTTTTTTTTTTTTGAATTTTTGTGTAGTTTAGAGATCTTGATAAATTGGCTTGCATATTCAATCATAGTATTAACACAAGCGACTCCGAAACTATTAAGTTTGTTTTTGGAGGGATTTTGTGCATGGTTGATCATAATATAGGAGGATTTGCCGCATTTTTAAAATCAAAAGGGGATAATACACAAAATTAATATTACACGCGGGGTTGGTGTTAAACCTCGACTGAAAATAATCTAATTAAAAATAGAGTGAATTCCCTAAATATGATTAAAAATGTTACAAATGCAAAAAAATTGGACTTGTTGTTTTAAATTTTCCAAATAGGAGTAAATATGTGTTACAAATGCAAGTGTTTGGACTGCCACCACTTGCTGCCGGTCACCAAAGCTCTGTTGCCTATAGCCAAAAATCTGCCGCCGCCATCAAACTGTTCCACCACCAACGGACTAACCTTGATTATGCAAGGAATCATGGGCGGGTCTACTATTGATCCAAAGTGTTCCCTTGACCACTCAATTTTTTTTAAATGTAAAAATATACACCAATACATTTAATATCATTATTTAGTGTTCACTAAAGTTTTAATTGTAAAAGCTTTTGAACACCCAAAATGAGAATGCTAAGTCCACTACTCCAAGGAATCATGGGGACAATTGATTGTACGACTAAATTACTAATCAAGGAATTTTATCAATTCGGGACCTGAAAGATGGATGAATTATCAATTCTGGACCTGAAAGATGAAATGCATCGGTATATGACCCGAATGATGAAAAACTATCAATCTAGGACCTAACATTTCATAGGTCTTGATTTATTTAATTTTTTATTAATTCCTTTGCTAATATTTGGTGAATCTTTCTTCACAAAAGTTTATTAGTTTGATACAACTAAATAATATTTAATTTTTTAAAATAAAAAAAAGTAATAAAATTTATGAAAACTTAGGTCCTAAATTGATAGTTTTCAATCATTCGAGCCCTAAATTGATAGTTTTTCATTATTCGGGTCCTATACTGATACATTTCATCTTTCAGGTCCAGGATTAATAATTCGTCTATCTTTCGGGTCCTGGATCAATAAAATTCCACTAATCAATTATAGGATCCTTAATTATATTTGGAGTAGAAAGCCAATGTTTATTCCTATTTATGAAATAAAAAACACTGAGTCTTATTTGTATATTTATGTTTAGATTTGCTCTAATTCGAGACAATTTCTTTTAAATATATTGTGATTGTGCTTGTTCTTATATTCCTAGCACAGAATCGCACCGGTTGGTCAAATATCATAAGATTACCAACAAGATGTTAGCTTCCACAATGGGGGTGTTTGGTTAATGGCCTATCAGCCATTTTTTGGCTGATTTGACTATTATTTGGCTTTTTGACCAGATAAATAGCTCATAGAAGTGTTTGGTTAATTGACTTTTTTACTTAGCCTTTTGTTCCAAACAGCCAAAAACAGAAAAGCCAATAAATATGGCGTTTAGGTTTTGGCTTTTCGGTATTTATCATTACATTCCTATTTTACCCACGAGTCCCTTTCTCTTTCGATAAAGGCCCTAATGATTTCTTTTCGTATTAGCCGCACTTCTCTGTTTAATCGACATCCACTCAGCTTAACATCGTCCACCAGGGTAAAATTGAGCTGTGAGAGCAACGCAGGGTTGGAATTCGTAGTTGTGAAATCCATGTTTAAGTGGATGATACTTTGGAGGTGAACCTAATCTTTGGGAGATAAATGATCATAAATATTTTAGGATATGTGTTTAATATACGTAGTATTTATTATTCTCTATATACTACGGAGTACGTATGTATCATATTAATTAAAATATTTGTTAAAATAAAATATTATTTGTGTTTATACTTTTTTAGTTTTTAAACTAACAAAAAACGCAGTACAAGTAGTTGTACAAATTACATTAATTAAATTTTTATTGATGTCCTTAAAAGTCATTTAACAAGTTATCAGATGATTGTACACAACCACTTTATCAAACACCATTTTATAAACAGATAATTCTATCAGCCAATCAAAACAGTCAACTGAACCCGCTGTCATCCATCAGCCAACACAATCAGCCAACAGCTAACAGCCAACTGCCATTTGCCAAACACCCCCAATGTCCTTTGAAGCCGAGATGAACGGTTATACTAGAGGTGCATGCACTTGTAATTTTTTTTTTCTACAAAAGAGGTATGTTGCAACAATATTTTATTTAACACAATACATCATTTTTACATCAACTATGATTATACAAAGGCACATACTTTGTAAATTAAATTTATTTGTACTTGTATCATTTTCCATTTAAAAAATTCTTCTCCTTAGTAATTTGAACTAAGATCTCCCACATAAGGAGGTCTGGAGTATAGGTAATGGTCCACTTGGACCACTAACGCTTATCAAATATACTACAGTATTTTCTAATATCACATCCATTTGGCATAAATTATAAGTTTTCAATTAACAAATACATAGTACGTAGTATTAAAATTCAAAATATGGGAAAAAAATTAAATTCTATTTTCTGATGATAATTACTAAAATTAACATGATCGAAGTATTTATTGTTTATTGCAGAGCATATATATAATATATAGTTCTTAAAATGGAAACTAACTCTGAAAGAAATTGCTTCAAATAAAACTAAAACATAGATAAATGCACAAATACGGCTAACGATGTCTATGTTTTAGTTTTATAAATAAAACATAGATAAATGCACTAAAACATAAAAAATCTAAACATATTTTAAAAAATAGTAATGATAGTCATATTTGTACACTTTGTCTATGTTTTAGTTTTATCTAAAGAACTTTCTCTAGCTTTAAATTATAACCACCACCACCACTCATTAACTAAGAATAATTTGTACATTAGAAATAATATCTAATAATACCAACTATTTAAATATAACAAAAAGTGATACATATCTACTTATCAACAAAAATTCAATCATACTTTAAAAAATAGAAATTATATCATTTAATTCATTGAGAACTAATATAAAAATATCAAATAAATGACATCATTTCAAAATGACTTTTATTTGATGATTTGATATAATTTTTTTATATTTTGGATGGCTAGACTTCTCGTCTAAAAGTGGCTCATATTATTTTTGTTATATATTCAAGTAATTGATATTTTTCGAAATTATTTTCAAAATGTGTATTATTATTTATGTATGAGTAGTACTCCACGGTAGTTGGCCGCTACATACTCCCTCTGTTCAGAAATTAACTTCTACATTTCTTTTTGAGTAAAGGGTCAATTTGGTCCTCGAAGTTGCAAAAAAGGCGTCAAATAAGTCCTTATATAGAAGATTCTGTCCGGACGTGCCATTTGAGGTGGCTCCCGGTGGAATTTTGTGATATTTTTTTTTGAGCATCTTATTCATTAAGTCTAGTTTACTCATACCAAGTTTTAGCTAAAAATTCAATCGGGAAGACATTCAAATGAATTCTTGAAGATAACAGCGCTTGTAACGGCACATGTATCTTCAAGAATTCATTTGAATGTCTTCCCGATTGAATTTTTATCTGAAATTTTGTATGAGTAAACTAGACTTAATGAATAAGATGCTCAAAAAATTTCATAAAAAAATTCCACCGGGAGCCACCTCAAATGGCACGTCCGGACAGAATCTTCTATATAAGGACTTATTTGACCCCTTTTTTGCAACTTCGAGGACCAAACTGACCCTTATCCCATTTCTTTTTTGAGATGTCCCAAAATTAACTTCCAATTTCACTTTATTTCTACTTATGGTAAGTTTTTACTTTCAAAGTACTCATTTACTATTTACTTTTACTACTCATTTACCCCCATTTAATTAATTTGGACCACTATTTCTCTTTATTATGTAAGGGTACTCTTGGAAAGTCAACTTTTATTTTTTCTACCTAAATCCCCGTGAAGTCAAACACGGGAGTTAATTGTGGGACGAAGGGAGTATTATTTACTGTTAATTCCCTTTGCAAAATTGTAAGAATAAAAACCCATTCCAAATAGGACTTTACTAGTACGCAATTGAAAAGAATAAATTCCACTTTTGGTTATACGAGTTTTAGGCAATTCTACATTTAGTCCACATCTTTCACTTTGCCTACTTTTGATCTACGACTATTGGGTTTTCGCTCATATATGGTCCTTCCGGCATTGTTGCCGATGGTTAAAATTGCCGAAAAAGGACCACAAACGGTTAAAAACATTAGTCAAGTACCAAAAGTAGATAAAGTGAAAGACGTGCACTAAAAGGTAGAATTAGGACAAAACTCGTAGAACCAAAAGTGAATTAATTCCAATTGAAAATGTAAATGCCACCAAACCACAAATTGATACTACTACAATGAAAGTCTCTCCACCTATTTGTAATATTAAAGGGAACAACAGTTGTGCTCTTTCTAATCAATAAAATCATGTACAACAAGAAATTGTGTATGTTTCTTTTCATTTCCTACTCCATCAAGAATCCAAGATTGAAACGCTTGATATCTTTCTTCTAGATCTTTTTCCTTTCATTCCTCTGTATCAAGATCTGAACTTGGGCTTGATGGTGCAATTCTACCCTGTGATCCTTCCTCATTTTCAATTTCTTCCATGTCCTGTCAATAACAATTCTATAAATCAACTTTTGTCTAAATGTGTTAAAGAGTAATTATTGTGCCTCTTAATTTGACCAAATAATTGTTCAAAGTTATTAAGATGATGTAGTCATGTATATTTAATTAAGAAATTGCTGAAATTAAGAATAAAATATGGATAAAATTAAAAAATGTGATTAAATAAATGTTTATTCACAAAGTAGAACATATTTAGTTATATTAAAAACATACTCCCTCCGTCCCCTTTTAAATATCCCGTTTTACCATATTGGGATGTCCCTATTTAAATGTCACATACCTTATTTGGTAAAGTTTGTGTGACACAAAATCATTCTTACTTTATTCTTACTTTATTCTTACTTTATTCTTACTTTATCAATTAATATCAACCACACAAACCCACTTTTCTTAAAACCCGTGCCACCCTCCTCTGGGACATTTAAAAGGGGACGGAGGGAGTAAATATTAAGAACTTCCCAAACTATGAGTGAATATGTCACGTTTTAGGACCTTTCAAAAAAAAAGTCATGTTTTGGGAAGAAAGATGCTTAAGCACCAAACTACTACGTAGTATATGTGCTTAATAATGACTAATTTTGTCTCTATTTCAAGTTAATGTACTCCTTTTAAGGAAATTCACCCTAAGTAATAATCAGGTGCCAAAACACTATCCTCTCTTCAATAAAAATAGAATTTCAAAAAGTAAAAAAAAACTGATTTCAAAACTCAGCAAAACTAAAACTAGGAAGCTGGAGAGGTAGTATTTGACTTGATCGAACCTAAAATTGCTCTCAGAGATTTAAGAACTTCCCAATTATCCAAATTCCAAACAGCTAATCCATTATGGTAACTCTAAGAAGTAGAAAATCAAAACCAGTCAAAGAATTTTTAGGTTGAAGTAATATTAAGATTAGGGATATATATGATACTACGTAGAATAAACACGAATAATGACATGAATGAATGATGTGTTTACCTTGAATTGATCTTCCTTCCCCTTTTTTTCTTTCTCCTTATCTCGAAGCGATCGAATAGGAGATATTCTCTGTCAAGTAAAGTAATCCTTAATGAGTTTGAGGTAAAGAGAAATCGCAGTCTATAATTGATAATTGAGTGAAGAAGGAATCGGCCGATTCATACCATACAAGATAGCCGGAGCTCCTTCAATCGGAAAAGGCGATCGACCTCCAGCTCAAGCTGCTTCTGAATCTCTCCTCTGTTTATCAGCTCCTGCATCTGCAAATCCATCACCGCCGCCCGCTCACGGAGCATCTTCTCCGTTCTCTGCTTGTCGATCCTCATCCTCTCCAGCTTCTCCCGTATGGAGCTGAGCTCATCGGCCAGCGACGAGTCCCGCAGTTCGATTTCACCGTGCGGCTTCCCCTTTCCCGCCGCCCCCGCCTGAAGCGGATGGACATTTTCCTTGTTTGAGATGTGGTACAGTGAAATGTCGAGCAGGTCGTGTTTTAGCTTGGGTTTGATCGCTTCATCGGGGAATTGATTCGCCGGAGTGTTCCTTATCTGGAGATGCTTCCGGCCGGTTTTCTGGCGTTGGATCTGGTTTCCGACCACCGGAGATTGTGCTAACATTGTTGAGACTACTCAATTTTGAAATCTTCTAAGTCTTTTGTAGAGAAGAGGGCACTATTTCAATTTTGAAAAAAGGAAGAGCCGAGTAACGGCTAGCCCAGCACAAAGCATCTTATGTTATTTTTTTGAAGGGGGAAACTGAAAAGGGGCAATGTCCCCATTTACTTTGACTCATTAGTTGGAGTGATACTGTTTTTAATAAAAAATTGGGATATTTTGACTTTGCACCCTGTTTTTGGGTGATATTGGATTTTGCATCCCATTTTCAAAACTTTTAGACTTTGCACCCTATTTCCCCTAAAATGTCTTTGCCTTTGCACCCCATTTAAGAAATTTTCTTCACAAAATGTTGTAGATAGGGTGCAAAGTCTAAAAGTTTTGAAAATGGGGTGCAAAGTCCAATATCACCCAAAAAGTGGGGTGCAAACTCAAAATTCCCCTAATAAATTCTCTGACCCCATTTGATCTACTGTTTTTTGCATTTGTTTTCTTATTACGTAGTGGTAATATTTTGTGAAAATTAACATTGTCTTTCTTAATTCTTTGCTTTTCTTTGAAGCTTATTTCCATTTGACTAAGATGGAGTTACTTGTCAAAGGGAATATGGAATTTATGAAATTCAATAACCTTAAAGTACAAAAAAACCACAAACACATAAGTTATCACGTTAATGTGTTAGTATATTCCAAACTTAACTTGTTAAGTTTAGTCTTAACATGTTTTCGGGTCACATACATGTATTAATACTTTAATTGATTTTGTATATATTTGTTCACGTCAAGTTAAGACCATAGAAATAGAATGCTCCTCAGTTCATATACAACTTGATTGGGTGAAAGTATTTTTTAAAAATTGAGAGACATATCTAATTTAGACGGATCTGACCCCGCCTTCTACATAACCATGACAACACACAATAAGCAAAAGGTTATCCACATAAGAATCTCCCTTCTTAAGTAGGATTAGGCATATTGATAACTTAACAATGAGTAGCAAAATACTACATTGGTGACACTAGTTCACATGTCGTAAAACGTAATCCGGAGTAGGGCTGTTAACGAACCGAGCTTTTATCGAACTATTCGAGCTCGAGCTCGGTTTCGAACCTAACAAGCCGAGCTTAACGAGCTTTCAAACTCGAACCCGAGCTGAGTTTTAAGTTCGAAAAGTTAATCGAGCCGAGCTCGAACATAGTAGTATTCGGCTCGGTTCGAACTCGATCCTATCGAACACCCTAAAATTTTAAATATAATTTATATATATTTCAAAATTTAAATATAATTAGTATGAGTTTATGATTTTAAATATGATTATTAACAAACCGAATACTTGTCGAATCATTCGAGCACGAGCCTATTTGTCACTTTTCTATTAAAATAAGGTAGATTCTATGTACCCAAAAAGTACCGCACCTTTGTCCACATGGATCAATCAGAATATTGCAATTGAATTATTTAAGTCTAAATTAAAATTGATATACCTATGTGGACCAATCAAGCGAATGGTAGGTACGGTATTCCTTTTTTTAAATGGGTACCGGAATTCTCACTTTAAAGTAACTAGTTTGTGGTTCTGCACATTTTTCTCTCCTCTGCACAAATTTCAACCACACAATTTTTACTTTTCTTATTCCTCACCTACTTTGCACTTGACAAAGTCCACCGGAACGGAGGAAATATAAATAGATTTAAGTATATTGTTATAAAAAACGATTGAATAATAATAAAAATGTGTACAAATTTTATACGGAATATTACAAGAATAATAATGTGCTAAAGAAAATGTTTTTTCCCCTAAAAGGAGTGGATATTGGATAATAAACCCAAGGGTACCACGTGGAAGAAATATGACCTTTACTGACAATTTCATACGTAGTAAGTGAAAGACTGATTCTTGCCCAGAAAGACGAGCTGCTATCTTTCATGGCTTCCTTGCTCTCCCCAGGTACTTCAACTATCTTCAACCAAAATCACCCCAAACCCTTTTCTTTCTCCCCATTAAAACCCACATCAACTTCCCTTTCCCTGTTCCCCCTTTCCAAGAGAAAACCCCTCTCTTTCAATGCATTCTTTGACGACATTTCAGATCGTCTCACAGTCATCTCCTCAGATTTACCCATTTCTCTGTCTAAACTACCCGGGTACACCCAATTTCTTAGTGTGACCGAGGAACTGCCCGAAGGGCAGAAATGGGGTTTACTCTTTTTTTCTGGAATGACCTGGATATACTTGACTGCCAGGCCAGGTGTGCTCATAGGCGCCATTGATGCGTACATTCTTGCCCCTCTGCAAGCTGGTATAGACAGTTTGAGTGGGGTGAGGAGACTGAAGATGAGTGATTTCGTGGTTGGGGACAGAATAGGGGAGGGTTCATTTGGTGTTGTGTATTCTGGTCTGGTTGCTCCAAAGAATGTAACCATTGATGAAAGAGTCAAGAAAAGAGGAGGTCAAAGGGCTTTGACTATTGATTCAAGTTTTAAACAAAAGGTTATCCTTAAGAAGGTAGGTATGTAAGTTATAAAAACTTAAATAGCTGGGATTGTAGTATTCAGTTAAAGTTCGTTTGGTAATCAAAAGTTGACTATACTTTTTCTAAGCATTCTAACAGAATAGGTAGTTGATTATTGAATTTTTCCTTTATCAAGTCATTTGGCTAATGATTTGCTTGATTAGTGGATTTTCCTTTGTTACAAAAACAGGATAAGTAGCTTCTGAGGGTGTTAGCCTGTTAGGGTAGCTGAAAAATCAGATTTAATAGTCAGTTAAATAAGCTTAATGATTATAATCAGAATCAATTTTTATTTGAACAAATGTGCTGAAATTTGGTGTGTAAATGATTAATTTCCTTTAAATTTGAAGGTGTTATATAAAAACGGAATGCTGAAAATTAATCATAAGCTAAACATTTCTAACTTCTCAAAAACGGTTAAAACTCATGATAGAAAGATGTTCTAAGAATAGCAGAATGTTTATAAGCATGATTAAAGGAGAATTGGAGTTTGCACTCTAATGTTTCATCGAAATTTAAGTTTGCATCATGTTTTCAATATCATTAATATTTATACTCTAAAATTTAAAACTTTTCACCCAACATCTCATACTTGTAGATTTTTTAACTTCGGGTGCAAATATTCATGATTTTGAAAATTGGGTAAAAACTCGAATTTGGGGGGATTTGGGGTGCCGAGTCCTATTCAGCCCCATGATGAAATTTTCTAAAACAGTTGAAATTAAAAAAAAAAACTAAACATTGGTTTCGCTTACAAGTTCTGACTTGAACATTTCATTGAAATGGATTTTATCAACCACCATATTCAGCCATATAATTTGAGTCAAATAACCCTTACCAAATGAACAGTTAGAGTACACGTTAAGGAATATAAATGAGGACATGTATATAAGATGCTCAAAAGTTAAAGAATGCCTTCCCGATTGACCTTTTGACCTTTTTATGTAAGTTCGAGGGCCTATCCGACCATTTTTCCCTATAAAGTGAAAGAAGATAAGCAGGCATCCCCACTTTTCCCTATATTCTGGTGCACTTTGATTTATTGTAGTCTTGAATATATAGGTAAAACTTGGGGTTCAAGGTGCGGTTGAATGTGGTGAGTTTGAAGAATGGTTCAATTACAGGCTGTCAAGAGCTGCACCAGAGACATGTGCCAAGTTTCTTGGAAGCTTTATTGCTGAGAAAACCAATTCAAAGTTTACCAAGGGTGAGAAATGGCTTGTCTGGAGATTTGAGGTACTTCAAAGACAATTTTCAGAGGGAAAAACACACTTCAACACGCTCTAGGAAAGTAAAATAGAGAGAAAATACATTTATGGAATCGGAAGGAAAGAAAATATGAGGAAAATGTGAAAAACAAAGCAATTTTTCAAACTAATAAATTTATTTCGATAATTGTTTATATTAAGACCTGAGTTTCTTTTCTAAAAAGTTGTTCTCATGAGAAGACAATTCGTTTGGATTGTGCATCTTTTTTTTTTTTTTTATGGTAGACACACCCTTGCGGTTCTGAAATTGTTGTCTTTGAGCCATGCAATATTTTATAAGCGCACATACCCTCACAGCCAAATACCTCGGCTGGACCGCAAGACTAACTCCTCAATAATTTAAGCCCATGTTATTAGTTTATTTTGTTGTATAGGAACTAAGAAATCTAAATATAGATTACAAATTAAAAAAAATACAATTGCAGTTTTCTAGTAAAACCAAAGTTTCTCTTCCTTTTCCCAGCATTTCTTGGACCTAAGCATATCCTTGAAGTGTATTGATATTGATGTTGCAGGGAGATGAGGACTTGGCTGATTACATGAAGGACCGTACCTTCCCTTTGAACTTAGAGTCTGCAATGTTTGGCCGTGTGTTACAAGGGATGGAATCCATCAAGCGCAATGCACTAATAATCAAGCAGATTATGAGACAGATTATTACTTGTCTGAAAAAGATCCATGACACGGGGATAGTCCATCGGGATGTGAAACCATCCAACTTGGTAGTAACAAAAAGGGGACAAATCAAGCTCATAGATTTCGGAGCAGCCACAGATTTACGGATTGGGAAAAACTATGTTCCGAACCGAGGCCTTCTCGATCCCGATTATTGCCCTCCTGAACTGTATGTAATGCCTGAAGAAACCCCCAAACCTCCACCAGAGCCTATTGCTGCTCTTCTCTCCCCATTTTTATGGCAGGTATGGTTAAATGTTATCTAACATAACAAAGTTATCTATAACCCCAGATAAGGCTTGGTTTTATGGGTCAGACACACAATATTGCTCTTATAATTTCCACGAAAATGGTATCAGAGTCTTATTATTGCCCATGCTATGTGCTTGTTAATCTCATCCCAATCTGGAAATTAGCTATATTAACCCACCATATAACAGTTGGACCTTCTAACCTTTACCTCGGGATAATTAAAAATAGAACGGTACACGTTCTAGATAAGGTATCTGTGTTGTCTTATTTGGATGAGACAAAAAGTATCATACGATCTATGGATCTAGATGAGATGTCTCATTCTATGGTTGTGAGATGGTGGATGCGGCCAAAGAATGTGGGGTAATAGAATTTATTTGCTAAATATGAAATTTAAAATAAAT